CATATGGCTCCAACGTCGGCCAAAGTGGACAATGGACGGGACGCTGGCGAAGAAGGCATTCAAAAATCAAGATGGGAGTCATGGAGAAAGAGAGGACGCTGAGATACATAAGCAGCGCGTGACCTGTGACGAGACCAGTGATTCTTCGAATGCACCAAGTCTGAGTATTCCGTCTCCTTGGCGCTGGATTGCTCTATGCTTCTAAAACGCAGCCAACCTCTTGATCTCCTGCGCCGCCTCCCCCTTTCTAGCCTCCCTCAACGCCTTGGCCATCTTGACTGCATTCGTAGTAATAAATGCCCCCCTCTCCCCACGCGTCTTCTCGAACGTCTCTACAAACTCCTTCGTGGCATCCTCTACCGTCCCCGTAATTACTGGCCCGGCACGCAACGACGGCCCAAGCTGCCTACCCGTCCTCACCTGCAATAGCTCAATCGCCACGGGATTCGGTTCCTGCGACAAGAGTGCAGCGTTCACCGGTTGCTCCGCATTCGTAGGCCACATGATGAGCGGGATGCCCTGGGAGAGTGATTCGGTCGTCGAGTTGAATCCACCGTGTGTGAGGAACCACCCGATTGCGCCGCTCTGGAGGATTGCGCGCTGTTCGACCCAAAAGTCACATACGAGACCTCGGCCGCTCGAGTTGACGCGTTCAATGGTTTCTTTGGGGAGGGACGCCAGTTTGCCGCCCAGCGCGAAGATGAAGGGGAACGGGTGGGGATGGAGAGGAGGCTGTCTATGAGAGCTGTGATATGCCCTGGAGTAGCGAGCGGGAAGAAGAGTGAACTGCCGGATCGTGAGATGCGTTGAAACAATCTGCAGTATTGGAACTCACCCGAAAGAGATGTACAACACAGACTTGGGACCATACTTGCTGACCGCATCGTCGAGGAACGCCTTGACGACGGTGTTGGTCGGGGACGCAGACGAAGACTCAAAGTCGTCCTTCCAGCACCCATCGTGGGCTTGCATACCCACAGGGAAGAACTCCTGCCCGCGCTCGCGAGATGCTTGCTTCCAATACGGCACGCCGACGGGCTCGAGGCATGACGCGGTGGGCACGATATACCCGTCCGCAACTTTGGCGAACTTTTGGCATGCACAGAGCAGCATGCCGATTCCCTCGGGCGCGCCGGACCCGCAGGCCCAGCGTTCGTAGTCGTACATGTCCGGCGCGCCAGGGAGCTTGACGACCATACCTGTGGTCTCCTCTCCCCCGTTCCACGCGAGTGAGACCTAGTTGAGATTGAACACCGCTGACCCGAATGGCGAACGAGCTAACGCACCGTCTCCAAGATCTCCTCCTTCGAGCGTCCCTTCCGGCTTTTCTCGTCCGCAAAGATCTCGTCTACTGTGGCAGCGAAATCGTAATCAGTCAAGTGGCCAGGCATCGACACCAACGCGGTGGAGAACCACAAGACCGTCTTGGTGTCCGGACCCAAGATCTCTTTCGTTTGGTCAACGGTGATTCCACCACCGAAGAAATCCATCTGTGATGTGGCGGTCAGAACTACGCAAGATGACGAAAAGGACGACACACGTACATGGACGGTGCGCGGTTTCGGCCATCCCTCGCTCCCCTCAGCGAGCTTTTTGATCGTCTCGAACCACCCTGCAACGGTCTCGCCAAAGACGACTTTGACTTGGTCCGGTGAAAATGGGAGGCTGCCCGCCGTTCGACTTGAATTCGACGAGAAGAATCACAATCACAAAGACGCACTCTTTATCCCCGAGACCAATGATGCGCAGCCTCGCAGGGTCGTATTCGCACGTACTCAGTTCGCCTTCCATCTGTGCGACTGAGGGCTTTGAGTCAGATTGTGGACTTGATGCAAGCGTAAGCACGACGTACGGAGGATGTTGTGCTGCACCAGTGTGATCACGAGGTCGGGATCTGCGTTGAGCATCAGCCGCGCGAGGTGGATGTAGCTGACGGTGTGTCCCCAGGCGGGGACGAGCATCGTCGCGATGTGGTGGCGGGCGGTGGACATGGTGGGGGGAAAGAGAAGGGTGAGACAGGGTGGGCATGGTGGCGGATGAAAACTTAAAAGGCGGCAAATGTCATCTCCATCGATCATGATTGAGATGGCATCCAGATGTGAGCGGTGATCCTGTCAACCGGCACTGAATTGCGTGTACTCGTCGGGATGCGGCTGAAACTTAGCTATCACCTGCTTCCCGAAGAAAGTCCTGAAGAGTTGGCCGGCGCTCGCATTAGGGCTGTGCATCGAAGCCCCGATTCTCGTCAGTCGTACCTTTTTGCCTGGGTTCATCGGGCGCGCGCTAGCCTCGAGTTCGGGTTTCAGCAATAACATAATCAAACGTACCTTGAGCGCGCTCTGTGCCGGGGGCCGCTTGCGGGGCAGTCCGAGCCTTCCTGACGCGTGTGAGTCCGGTCAGCTGGAATCGGAGGCCCGCATACATGTAGTATGTCGATTCCAACCAAAACGAACCTGGTTGCAGTGAATTAACCGGGCTGGATTCGAAACAGTCCTCGGGTACAGATGACGTGGCTACGTACTGCTTACCTGGTCTTCAACCAGGGTGCATTCCAAGTACAAGGCTTCCCTAGTCAGTGTTGACCTCCATAAGTATTTAATGTAATTCCCACCACTGGTAAGCTTCTACCTTATGAATTGTCCGAGCAATACCTGACTCATGTCAAAGACAACTCCCAGACCACACGCGTCAATAGTACCTGCTTGGATTCGAACCAGTCTAGATGCCAGTACAGTTGAGCTTCGGTGCCGGCAAAAAAAAACTGGCAGCAGTGCACGTACTGCGGAACGGGAAGGGCACGCTCGAGGATGCTACTAGCAAAAAGAAGGGCACCGAAGAGTGATTTGCATCAGAGTCGCGAGATGTCAGAACCGTCATGTTCGTGCGACGTACCTGGAAGTCCCCCCAGAATGGTGGGATATTGGACCAAAGATCTAGTCAATGTCCGTATGGGCGATATAGCGTGCAAAAAGTTCTTCCGACAACTTTGGGATTTCTCATGTAATTTCACTCACAACTTCCATTTTCAAGAATACAACTCGGATTTGCAGGGATACATCTTCAACTTTGGCAGATACAACTTACCCCGCCAACAACCACAACTTGGACTTTTGGTAATACAACTTCACATGGTTTTTTTGGCAAACCTAGTCAAGGCTCAACTTGACCCACTTGAAACCTTCCAGGACTCCACGGCTCCGCCGGTGGAGGGTTCGGGAGCGGACCGAGACGACGGTGACACTCCTGGATCAGTATTTGGGGCTGCAGACGAGGCCAGATCAGTGGGGGTTGATGAGCATGGAATCAGAACTCTTGTAGCTATCATTCCCAGCGGGGAAATCATCGGGGATTTCCCAGTGAATGGGTTTAGATATATGTAGCTCATAGTTGTTCTTTGTCGCGGGCAGTCTCCAGTTGGTCTCCAGAGTGAATACAATAGTCAACCAGGGCATGGGCTCTGGCAGGGCCTTCGACCTGTTGAAAGTCAATGAACAAATTGATTGATAGTACACTGAGAGTACAACGTCTGGGGCTTGAACTTGCAAGCCCCTCGTATATATACTAAATCCTATGCTGCGCCGCAGCCCGGTATCCTATAAATCTCAATATTCCATGTCCGTGTCCGTGAATGTCCTTTCCGAGACTCCGTGTATTCTCACCGCTCCCAAATGGCTCCGAGGTATTTCCGAGAGTGACTGAAGTGCCGATTGCCCTTCCAACACGACCTTGGGTGAAGTTCAAAGGTTTCTTAGCTCTTTCGGTCTTCAATCATTTGTTTAGTGAAATCCCGCGGGTTCATTCCCCTGTCATTGATGATCTGAGGCCCACTCAAGCCCTCCCGGGATGACCATTGATGGATATTGCATCACATGCAAATCACATGAGTGGTTGGAATATCGCAATTGGCTAATCCGGCCCATAGACCAGTGCAAACACTTGAGCTCAATCCATTGGGGCTACACAATCATAGAGGTTGAGATCTTTGGTTTCAACCAAGTCATCAAATATTGATGCACATCAGCGCTGAGCCCTGTGTGGACCCAGACACCGAGTCACAAAAGACGCTTAGAAGACACTTAGCTTGGATCGAATACTGGAGTGATTTTTCCAGCCACGGTCTGGCCACTGGACTGACCTTCCGGCAGAGTCATCGATTCGTGATCAACTGATTCCCATCACTGCATCAATCACTTTCTACTGGCGATCAGCAAGTGATCAGGATCAGGATGAAAGTGGTGGTTGCCAGAATCAAAAGTTGCAGGGCAACGACTGAAGTTGTAGGCAAAAAGTTGAGGTTGCAAAGTCAAGGAACCAAAGTTGTAGTTGTAAAAATGAAGTTGTAGTTGTAAAAACTGAAGTTGTAGTTGTAAAAGCCAAAGTTGGCATTGTATTCGATGCTGAAGTTGCAAAAACTTTTTGCACAATATATCTGCCATATGTCCGAATTGGTGTGTATTCATTCACCTTGAGTTCTTGGGAGCAGGAACGTGCAACTACGGAGTCGCCAAGAACATCACGGCACCGATTCAGAGAGAGAGACGAGAGTCTGCGGCACACAAAAAGCCGTAGCCACTAGCAGGGAGGGGGAGTGTACCAGGGACGTCGCAAAGAAACAGACCCCAGAGATGGTGGCGGTAGAATCAAGGGGCATTTTCGATCATGATCTCTGCCAACGGAGAGAATGAAAAACTGCGATGCCGTTTCATTCCGGCGTGTCCAGCGCCAAGTTCCAGCCAGGTACGGTACTTCTTTCAGCGGAAGGCTGAAGCGAATTGTAACCCCAAATTCCAAGTCCAGTTAGCAGGATACTTAAGCTTCCAGTGTCTATGTATCCGTGGATGCCATGTTCAGCCCCCAACAGAGATGGACAGCATCCCCTCGTCCGACAGACCAGCAGATATAATGGTGAATTTTCAGTGGAAAAAATTTGAAAGAGAATTAGGTCTTCGATTCAACTTGAAGGCTGGGAGAAAGCTTGTCAAGGTTGTAAAAGAAAAGGATGGACAAACTGGGAATTGAACCCAGCACCTCCCGCAAATTCTTCGTCACGTGACCGCGGCGATGCGAAGCGGGCGCGATAACCAACTACACTATTTGCCCAATAAACCGTGAAACAGTACCGTCAATATGGCGAGCTACACATCTCTGTTTGCCGCCTCAGAGAAATCATGTTGAAGTGGTTGATGAATTTTGTTTGATTGCTATTCAGGGCCCCTTCTGCTCAAGTGGATGACGGGTTAAGGAACTTGACCCTGTCTCCTCAGGAGATTTTCCAGTCCTTCCAATCTCCCGAACATCTCTGTCTGCTGCCTTCAAAATGTTATCCTGATTATGAAACAATAAACTGTAGGTCAAGAGAGAGTTTGGTTCAAACTCTGAAACGTTGAACAGCGTTCACTGACAGGGTTGAAATACTACAACTTTGTCCCCACGACCTTCTTCTCCACCACGACCGTGGCCCAATCAATGATGGCATCCACCAACCTCGCCACATCCTTCCTTGTCTTGTTCGCGTTCAAACAAACCCGAACTCGAGTTTTATCTCTCCGCACCGCGGGGAAGCCAACAGCAGGTGCTCCAATTCCTCACGTCTCCAAGAATGCAGACAGCTCCTCTGCAAAGGGTGTCAACAGAGGGATAATTGGGGTGGGGAGCGTAGTCCCAGGCAGTTCATCCACGTCCGTCGATACGGGCAAGTGGAAATGCGCCGGAAGGGTAAGGATGTGGCTAGGTATGTTTGCGAGCTTGATGACCAGCAATTGCATGAGGTGAGTACACAGATCAAGCAAGTGGCTCGCGAGGTGAGTGCCTGTGCTGCTTTCGAGGATGTCCGATGCACAGTCAACACTGATGATGGCCGTGTGGTTCGGTGCAGTGGTGAAAATGAGAACACGGGCATGGGTGGCCAGATATTCGCGAAGGACTGGGGACACAAGTAGGACGGCTGTGAAAGGCTTGAATGGGTTGAAAAGAATATTCAAGGACAAACGAACCACCCGTGGATGTGACAGCCTTGCCAAATGTATGCAGTCGAGCGAGGCACCGATGCTCCAGCCCATACATGGCCACGATTCCACGCCCTTGAGGACCATAGACTCCTGTTGCGTGAGCTTCGTCAACGACGAGATGCCCATTCCCTTTGGGCAATTTCTCGTCCAAGAAATCCACCATATGCTTCAACGGAGCTATGGATCCGTCCATGCTGTATATGGATTCTACTGCCAGAAACACGCTCGTTGTCCCCGCTGCCACCGTGGAATCACCTTGCACAACAGACACCAACTTTCGCCGAAAATCCACCAAATCATTGTGGGAGAACGAAACAAGCCTTACGCCCCTACTGGAGCGCATCCCATCCCAAATCGACGCATGGACGTGTTCGTCGTGAATCATGATATCTCCCACAGCCGGGACATGCCGAAAAAACGCGACGTTGGCATCATGTCCAGAGCCGACAACAAGAGCATCTGGGGCATTGAAGAATCGTGCTAGGCGATGCTCGAGTTCCGCAAGTTCTTTGGGATTGACGGCAAGTCGGGAACTCCCCGAACCAAACAGCGCCGGCGCTGTCTGGACGCGGTCCAAGAAAAGGCGTCGGAGCTCAGTGGACTGAGACAGGGATAGGTAGTCGTTGGTCCGAAAGTCGAGGATCCCGTGCTCCTCCGAGGTGGAGAGCGATGGCGGCGGCATCTGGAGGCCGCCGTGCTTTCTGTGAGCCTCCATGAGTGACTCGAGTTTATGAGCGAGTGAGGACATGCTGGGAATCATCCCTGTGTCGGGTACTTTTATACCACTGGACTGTTGGATCCACGGCTCCAAGGCGAACTCGAGCAATATTCAGATAAGCTTCAGTCTCGGCGATATAACTTGACTCACAAACTTGGACTTCAAAAGTCAAGAAGGGTATGCGACCAACGGCTTTGGCTCCCAAAGCAGCTAGGGCTTAGCCATAGCAGACCCGCCGGCTCCTAGCCACCCGGTGATTATGCATTATGCCGCACGTCCTCGCGCAACTACGGGAACCTGGGACATTGGCTTGGACAGGCCAGTATATAGTGCTAGTCTCAAGCTACTGTTTGTTGCCTTGCTTAGTGGGAACCGCTGTTTATAGCGGAGAGCTTACCCCACTCGGCGTCCCGGGGCTTTATTCGTCCAGGTTCGTCCCTGTTCGCTATGATGGCCTGCCAAAAACACCCTAGATGCGAGTGTACGTATCAGAGCTCCATCCAACGACGGTACCCACGGACTTCCTCGCACCGTTCCTCGATTCGTGAGTTCCTTTCCAAATGAATGTGGATTCGGATGCCAACAGGGATAATGGGGTCCCGATTCTGAGCGTAATAAAATGCGGGATGAGGTGGACACGGTCGTCACCGGGCTGCCACCGGCGAAAGACAAATATTCAAATGTTTTCGGACAGCAAGTCTCATTTCGCTGTGCACAAAAATACTCTGAAGCAGTGAGTTGAACAGGAGACGGATTTGGGAACACCTCACGACGATAACGCCACCGTAGGAGAAAAGGATTGGGATGAAGAAAATGTCATGCTGGATTTCGAGTATACTAAATTGTTCAACCCGAGGTCTTCTTTTTCTTCTCCACAGCACACTCCCGCTTATGGGTCGACTTCCAATGCGCCTGTGTGACGCACAATAAGCTGCTTCACAAGTTGAAAACACCGAGGGAGCACTCACCTTCTGACACGCCTGCCCACAATAGAACCTCTGGCCGCACCCCGAACACGCCTTCAAATCGTTCGGATTTCCACACGCCGCACACGCCGTTGCTCGTCTACTATCCCTCCCATCCTTCTTCAACTCCTCAAAGAACCCAAACGAGATCTCTTCCCCCTCGGCAAACGTCACCTCCCTGGTCGTCTGCCGTTTACTCGGAAACGTCGGCCCATCATCCAACAGCGCCTCCAGCTTCATCGGCATCTTGTACATCTTGGCACCGGGCGAGTACGATAACTTCGTTCCGAGCGCAGTCATCACCGCCCCCGTCGTCTCCGCCAAGTCAAAGTAATCCGGGTCGAACGAAGGCCGACGATGCCACCCGCGATCGGTATAGTTGGGCATCGAGTTGACGTCGGAGAGTAGTTCGCGGCGTTTGGAGGCAGGGGTAGTGCGGTCGGCGAGGGTTTCGATGCGCTCGGACCAAGCCTCGTTGCCTTTGCTGTTTTCGGCTGGACAGATGCCGGAGCCGTCGAGAATTTGGACGCGGCCGGAGCTCTCGTCGAGGAGGAGAATCTTCTCGACCTGGAGTTTCGTTGTACATGACAGACTCGGTAAAGTAAACGGCAAACACACCTCGATCTCATGACGGAAGTGGTCTCCGATATCGTACTCGTAGCCAATTGCATCGCCAACTTTGGCCATCATGTGGGCCAGGCAATAGTCGTCTTCCGAGAGAAAGGCGTAGCCGGACTAAGTAATGTCAGTGAAGCTGACACGAGAGCATGTACAACCATCTCACATTGTCAATGTGCATCATATCAATAGACTTGCTGTTCTACAAAGAGGTGGGTTTGCTTACGGTCGTGGAACTCGGAGAAGGAGCTACCTTGGGCCCATAAAGCGTGCCGTCGCGGTAATCGGTGAGTATGTGCGCGTGAAAGTTTCTGACCCTGGAAGGGCTTAACCAAAAATGGAACCTAGAGAAGTTGAGATACGCACCATCCCATGAGCGGCGCCAACACCTTGTCTTGAAACACACCCAACGACATCCCACCGCTGACGATGAAGCGCCGCCAAATTCGGTCCTCACCCGTCGAGGTCTTGATGTTCCTGCCATAGGTTTTGGGTGTAAAACCGGCAGCAGAGGGGCTTGGGGACTCACGGCATGTGAATGCGCAAGACGTAGTCGCGGCGAGTCAAATCGCCCAGATCGACCTCCTTAAGCTCGCGTTTCTACGCCCTGATTAGCGTGAACACGGAAGTGAACCGCTTCTGCTCACCCGGCGTGCCATGACGGCGTTAAGAAATTGGTCCTCCGGGCGCAGCAGTTTGGTCGATTTGTTCAGTGGAGGGTAGATCATTTGTGTATGCATCTGGATGGCGTCTTTGTCGGTGACCGACTGGGAAATTCGAGGGCGGCGCACCTTCCTCATGATGTTATACGGAACATCCTCGAATCCCGCACCTCGTTGACCCGCAGGGACATACTGGATGAATGAATGAACAGCGCGGGGGGCGATTGACTCCGGAAACGTACGGGATACAAGCCCCAAGATCGAATTCTCCCGTCCAAGCCAACGTTCTTCGCGTATGTGTCGGGATCTGGACGGTGGCAGGTCAGATGACACGTCGGCCGGGCAGACAAAGGCAATACGTACGATCGAAGAACACAGCGAGTAGACCAGCTCCATCGTCGCCAGGAGCGAGCTTGACGTATGCGGGAGGTCCCTTTCGCGTGAAATTGACGCCTTGGATGGCGCGCAGCATGTCGTCCATGTCGGACATGGTGGAGGGAAGGAAAGAGGGGTGTAACGCCGTCACGTATCAGTCACACAGTCGGCAATCATTGATCCGCCGCTCCCACGTGGCTGAATCATCTCCTCCCAGCGACCACCATCTTCACTGCCGTGAATCCGCGAAACCAGACACTCTGACCTTGACTCTGCGTTCCTCATCTTTGGCTTCAAGTCTCTCTATCTTTCATCCGACTTCTATTTCCCAAGCACTGCAAGCTTCGGTGTCCAATAAGTATTCCACTGATGCACCCCGATCTACACCCTCGCAACCTGGACCGCCTTCCAGCGTGCATCCGGGTAAGGCCTATCCTCATTTGTATACCAACCATCTGATTGCGTGAAGCGCGTCGCGTCCCTTGCAGCGGCAGATACCCGTACCTTCCCTCAGGTACAACACGCGCGGAAACTCATGGACATCTGAACTCTTCAATTTCCAACGGCTGGCATTTCTGGCCGTCTTCTTCCCCGTTCTCGACCCAGCTCGCGTCTCTAGCCGTGAGGAAGGAGATTCTACGGATTTCAAACCCGTGGAAGACTACAGTTGCGCTCACATAGCTCTAGAGATCCACGACCGCAGGGTGAAATCGGGCTGTATCTATGGCCACGGGTTTGGTCGTGGGTCGAGTTT